ATTTCCAAGATTTACCATCCTTTAACTCCAACATGCAGAGCTTACATTAGACCTGGTTAATTAGGCAGTTACTTCTCGTATGTTAAAAACTTGCAGAGAGTGAACCAGAAAAATTTATACTGTTTTATTTATTCAGTCTTGGAAATTATGAGGTTTTTTAAATTTCACAAACTGGTTATTTGTATATAATTTTAGCACTCGGGTCAAAATTTTTTAGACGTTTTATTCACTCATATAAAATTGGCAATTTAGACAATATAAATGAACTCGTGCCACCTAGTGGCAACTAAGATGTCTTAGCCAAAGCTCACTGAAGGTTTGGCTAGTAAGGTCTTTACCATGCAGTCTTTTGCTATTCACTTTTGTTTAGCAAAAGACAGCTTTATAGTGCTACAGTCACTTGCATTTCTGCATATCAGAATTATTAACCTGAAAATAAATCATATTTGCTATAGTGATTGCCTTCATATTTCTACTATGAAATTATAATCTTAGGATAAAAAATGGATTTAGAACCATTTCATTCATATTTTAAAGCAAACAGTAAGGGAATCTTGTTCTCATTGCATCAACTAGATACTGTAAAATCTGCTTAGGGGTTATCCAGGTATAGAAAGTGGTATTTCTTTTACTAGAAAGATACCTATAAACCAATGCAAACTCTCTGCTTTCCATGTGAATGTGGCTGTATCAATATAAAAGTGACTAGTATAACCAGCCCTTAGTAAAGGGTAGCACATTTAGATTAGCTTAACTATGGGTGCCTGAGAAGTTTAACCAATGAAAATTCTAACGGAGGAAAGAAGGTGTATTGATGTGAAAACAGGACAGCTGACAGCAGCTTTTTAGTATGAAAGCATAGAACGGTAGCCTGCTCCGTAGTTTACAAGTACACAAACTACAAGGTGTCACAATAGTATGTGCATTTTTAACACACTCCTCTTGTGGGCTCTTACCTTGTATTCCTTTTTACTGGATGAGCAAATCCATGATAATTTTGCCCATTCTCTGTTTCTTGTAAGAACACAAGGAATAACCTCCTACGCTATACAGTGGTTTTATTAGACAAAACTCCCTTTGTCGTTGTTGAATTAAACTTGCTGGTTTTAAAGTGTAGGGTTGAAAGGACTCTGGATTTGAATAACAGTTAAATAAAAAGGAAATATTCTTATACTGTTACCCCTTGCACCATGCAATGATACATAGTCTGTGCCTTTTTTACTCGGCCTTCCTTGAGTTCAGGAGAAAAATTCCAACCTTTCTGCTAGAAAATCCTACTCAAAGGCAAGCAGGGTGCTACATGCCATGAATACATAGCTGGCAGAACTAAAGAAAATTGTTTGAGGTTTTGTGAGTGTTGCATAATATTCCAAAGTTGCTAATGTGAGCTGAAAAGGTGCCTGTGAAACATCAAATTGCAGTTCAACCAGAAAGATTAATGAAAACATCATTAAGCTGTTTAATGAAACTGCAACAATACATGTATATTAGTTAACTAAGCTAATGCTAATGGTATGTAAGACATTACTACTCATCTTAAACAAGAAGCAATCTGAAGGAGAACCCACTTTGTTAAATTTGGTGTTACTGAGTCTTTTCCAATTCATAGCTGCAAGGTTTTATTCACAAGCACAGGAGTGATGAGCTCTTTTTTTTTTTTTTTTTTTTTTTTTGTAGTGCAGTTTCTGAACAAGAGAATCCAATCCTTTCAGATTACTTAATTTACTTCTTGAACTGTAAAGAGCAGAATCATCTCTATACAACTCAGTTGAGAAGTCAACTGTATCATGGCCAGAGCTATATTTTTACCAGCTGTTCTGCAATGGTGAATGGGTTATTGAGATATATAAATATTGTCTGCATGAATTCTGTTTGACCAGTGCAAAGTATGCCAGTTAATATACTGAGACCAAGGATGAGGAATATTTAACCACCTCTCTGGTCTGCAGCTAATACTAATTACATAAGGCCTTATGCCCTCCAAGTTTTTAAAATTTGTGGAGTTATCCAGTAGTGACTGAGTATAAGTACTCAGTGCTTCTGCCCTGTTGTTCAGCAGCAATCAGATGAAGCTTATTTATCAGATCTATGCAAGTTGTTGCTGTGGAATTGGTAATTTCCATCATTCTGATTCAGCCTACAGGTTTGTATTGTCATCTTAAAAGCATCACTGTTTCAAGCAGTGAGTTCAAGTCCATCTGGAGTCTTGCGCTTGTAATTTTCAAAGGCCTTTCCCAAAGTGCACGTATCTCATTTCTCATAAGCCTGAGTTCCAATGAGGAAAAATGGTACACGGTCTTTTTACTTATCTAGAACCAAAGAAGATCTGCTGAAGTTGTACCCTTCTGTGGGATGAATTTGCATTCCTTGTTACGTAACAGAAACTACAAAAACTCTATCCAGCATTTGGCTGTCTGTGGAAAAAAAAGAAAATTAGCTGCCCTGCTTCTTTGGCTAATGTGGAGCCACAGCTATGCTCGTGTGACTTAGCCTAATTATGATTACAAAAGGGTTTTCGATGGTTTGAGTGAGGGGTGAGCTGTGGGATATTTCAAGGCTTATATTCAGATATTCCCATCACACTTTCTGATGTAGAGTTGAGGTACTCCCCACAGTAAACAGACAACAATTGATAGTCCTATCAAAGCTTGCGAAGAGCAAAAGAGTCCCAGAGCAATGCAGTCTTTTCTAAATGTCATTTTCTGAACACTTTGCATTTCTATCAGAAAGACTATTTTAAGTTACAGTATGCAAAAGGTATTCTTCAAGACTATGATTCTGTCATTCTGAACTATTTCAGAACTTTCCAGTATCCTGGAAACTGCCACTGAAGACTCAGCATCTCAGTCCATTTCTTAACTAGTCATCACATTTTTATCTTTTTTTTTCCTTCACTCAGCCTCTTGGCCAAGAAGTGTTAATCAGTCTTCCATAAAATCCATGCAATGTGGCATTTACACCTGCTTCCTTTCTACTTGTATCTGTCTAGCAACAGGTATTAATGTGTGTCCATATTGCTTTGTATTTACCCAGTTAATTGATTCTGGTTAACTTTTGGAATGTAAAATTATCTCCCTTTTAAAGTTTAAATATAGTTAATGTAGGAAGCAAGAACAAATCCGGAAAGCTATCCAGTGGAACTTCTGATTGCTTCTTAGTAATAATACTGAATGAGTCATGGTAACTAGCAATAAGATAAGAAAAACCCTAAGTATTCCTGATGTGTCCTGAAGCAATACAGGATATATGAAATACACAAGCTACAATCACTGTGGTCTCAGTAAGTGTAATTTCACAGAATCACAGAATGGTAAGGGTTGGGAGGGACCTTGAAAGATCATCTAGTCCAACCCAGCCAAAGCAGGATCATCTAGAGTAAAGTAATTTCATCTGATTTGTTTCTGCTTTGCAAAAGACGATTAATATTTTGGACCAAACATCAGCATTTCCCTGTGCATCCTGACATAATGTAAGGAAAGACTGTCCTAACTGTTCTCAGTGAAACTGCCAGACCATCACTTGAGAGGTTTAGGACTGAGTTCCAGTCTCAGTGGGAGTTTTTGAGTTAGTGAATGGCTTGCATGTGAAACAGGAGTGATACAATTCTTGGAAATAAAGTTCTTAACTTGCAGACCTGGCAAGGCATACCAGGCTAGAAAAACAAAATTAGAGCTGAGAATCTTGGTTTATGCTATCCATCTGCCTTTGTATCATTGAGACTGGCAGGTCTCTTTGGTCTCTGACTTATCTCAGAACTGTCTCAGGGCTTTTGTGACTTGCCCTGGCAACAAACAACCTTTAAGCACTGTTCCACAAGACTGAGCCATTCAAGTCAGAAGCGTTACCCTTACTGTCCCTGATGCCACTGTGCTTATTCCAGAATTTTGATGAGTGTTGGCCTCCTACTCAGAACTTGCCAAGCTTTTGCAAGCTCTGTATCTCTTTACTTGAAAACCGTAACTGTTTCAGGGAGGAACTTATGTCACTGAAAGCTTCATCTATTAAAAAGACAAATTATGTACTTAAATATTTGCAAAATAGCCCTATCCAATGTTTTGCAAGCACAGTATACCTTTGTTTCATATCTGAGCTGGCAAACTTGTGTTGATATTTGAATTTCTGATTTTAAAATCCTCCCTTAGGGGAGTGAGGTCGCTCATGAGTAGAGTAGAATTTCACCATTGAGAAACAAAAGGGACTAAACTACAGAAGTAAGTTCTGCAATTTCCTGTCTGATGGTAAGTTTCTGTCATCTATACTTTATTGCACCAGACTCATCCTTCAGCCAAGGAGCTCCAGAACATACTGTGTTTATCCTGGAGTGGTTTGTGTGCTCCATAGTGTTCCTCTGAGAAAGAGTTAAAGGCAGAGGGATTGTATTTGAACCAGCTGTTCAAGTAGAGTAAGAACTCTGTTATTTTCTTCCTCCTCAGAGCGCACAGACTGGCCTAGTATCCGGTCCGTTATGTTTGTCCATGATCTTACACAAGCCTATTAAAATAATTACGTTTCACCCCAGTTTCTTCCAAGTGGAGTCACGGTATAATGTCTACAAGAGAAACAAGGAAGTGTATTTTGTTTTTATTTGTGCTGAGAAATTTTCTATGACCTTGACATGGAGAGAGGTAATTTGGAGAGGGTGGAAGGACAGATTAAAGAGAAGCTCTAATGACTATATATGTTACAAGGCAGATTTGAAAAGAGCATGTAGATTTACTATCTGCAGAATAAGATTTGTGCATGACAAGTTAATTCTCTCAGATGAAATGCTCTGAAATATTTGCAACAACTTTTTATGCTTTAGCAATGTATGTTTCGTTTGGCCTGCTTATTTACTCAAGCAATAACATGCACAATTAAATAAACTTTATTTGATCCCTTTCTTACTTTCTGATTCTCACCTGTGTGTCTCCTGCAAATGTTATGTCATAATATTTGGGAGGGGGACATGCTTTTAATTACTCATTGCTAAATATAAAAACTCTGTTTGTGTGTGACAGTTTCAGTCAACTATTAGCCACTCACCTGATGAAGCACCTTTTAATCCTTACGTGCTGCAGAGGAAGAGAGGTCTTACAGTAGCAGATAAAGGTAGGTAGTGTTATTTATGTCACTAATACAGTTCCCTTCTGTATGCCAGAGATGTCTTCTCAACAACTATTTCTTTTTTCTTTTCTCCTATTTCACAGTGTTGTTTATCAGTATAGCCACTGTTATAGCTCAAGTCTGGTAGCTGAGACTGCCAGATGTTACCATCTGTAATAAAAGTCACTTAGCAGAAATACCTTTTTCCAAACTGAAGTAAAAGTTTATTACTTCTTTGACTCTAAAAGCTGCTTCCTTGCATGTCGTAAAAAGGGCTATGCCCTGTTGCATCCACAGTGCCTTGCTGGTGATCAGGCTTTCTGTAAAATGCAATTAAAGATGGCTGCCCAAGAATGAACTATATAAGGCAGCACTGTGAGTAAAGAATTGTCTGAGGTAACTGATAGAAAGTACTAAGGAGAAAGACCAACATATAATCTTTTTTCTGTTAAGGAACCCCCTGGTTTCACATTATGTGTATGCTCAATAGCTAGAGCATGTCACCAGGTGGACATCACTCTCTGTTAGGGAGTTCTGAAGTTCAGGACTGTATGTGGGGTTTTTTAATAATGCTCTCATAAGTCAAACACACTGATGATCCTGAATGTAGAAGGAATGAATATAGTAGCTGTGGTAGCAAAAAATGCCTCATATAATGTCTGATTTTTCATTGATTGAACTGCAGGTGATCAGAGAGAGGCCTTACCCATGGATACTGAGGTCTATGAAAGTCCGTATGCTGATCCAGATGAAATGAAACCAAAAAATGTCACTCTTGACAGGAAATTGTTAACCTTGGAGGAAGGAGAACTTGGCTCTGGCAATTTTGGTACTGTAAAGAAAGGATTCTATAGAATGAAAAAGTAAGTGTTGCCTTGTGTTTTCATGGAGTGTAGTTTGTAAATGTCTAGCCTTTATTTGCTGAAGCAGTAGTAATCTTTGCATTTCATTTAGGTACATGACTGTGCTTAAGTAACTTGAGCAGTTACTTAACCCACGAGTTTCTCTCTTCGTATGTACACTCAGACATTCATTTTCTGTACACTCATTTTCTTTTCCTCTGCAGACACCTCTTTGCCTGAAGCAAACCCTCTCAGCCATTATTTTTGTCTGTAAAGGGCGAAAGTGACCCTTATGACTATTTTCTCTCCTTTCAGCGATAGTAGAGTGCCAAGTCTACTGCCTTCCCCTATAGTTTGTATTGGGAGTCATGCTACTCAGTATTTCCCATCTGCACTACGTCCTCTGAGAAATAGAGTGCCATGGACAGCTTTCCTGTGGTGCTGACATTTTCACCTAAAATAAGCATGATAAATATTTGTTTCATGAATTTGGAATGTTGATTTTCAAGACCTCTTTTATCATGTAATTGCAGTAGGAACAGACCCTGTTTATACTGGCAGAAGTGGGAGCACCTGTTCCTGCGTAGAATCATAGAATCATAGAACGGCCTAG